AACAGCGTTTAAATTGTTCCCAGAAGAAAACAAGGAGAGTCATACTGGTTCAGGCTAGTGATTCATTTAACAAAATCTTTTGATGGAGAAAACAGGTGCAGGAGCAATCCATTTCATGTTGTCTTATAAGGGCCCTATCGGCATTGTCAAAACAATTCAGAAGGTTTAACAATAGCATGAGGGTCAGGTGCAGCTCAGTATATGAATAATTCCAAGACAAACAGAATAAGCGACTGTGCCAGTTTTACCATGCACAGGTAAATGGCAAAGTTTTAAATATATACATATAGCCTGATCAAATCAGGATATTTTCCTAGGGAAAGGGGCAAGGCACAACCTTGATCCTAGCATTACAATTCCTGGCAGATTTCAACTTCTTGGATCTGATTCCTGAAATAATGAAAAGTTGGATGAACTTTCAAAAAATAGGGTCAAATCTTTTTTTATTAAAAGCACTTCTCAAGACATCAGTGTGGTATCGTAAGGCGACTTGAATTTCAGCACATCAGAAGTTTTATAAGATCAAGCCTGCAATTTTCAGGGGTTGTGGAAAATACTAAGTAGAGACCTGCAGCATACAATAACAACTGTACAGCCAAGAAGTGAACTGCAACACTGTTTAAAAAGTTAGGTCATCAAAATAAGTGTCAAAACACTTGCTTCTATTTTAAAAGTACTATCTTGTGTTGCACATAACACTTACCACCAAAAGAGATTTTTTTCCTTTTACTTTTTAAGTAGCCTAATGAAAAAAGAAAACAAGCAAACAAACAACAAAGTTTCATTTGGTTTCATAAATACCAGAGATAAATGCAAGCCATATAAATGGATTCTCTCTCTCTAAGTCTAATTATGCTGATCAGAATTTTCTGAAAGAAAATACTTCAGTTAAACAAGTTTCAGAGTCAGTAGATGGTTAATTTAATGGTCTATGATATTAGGAGCTAAGAACCAAGATGCCCAGTGTTCACTTCCAGTCTTAAAAAAAAATTTCTATGCAAGCTGAATTACGTGTAAATATATTCATGTATCTGATATCAAGAACTAAATATTAATCATTTATCATTCTCTCCATTAAAAAGGCTTTGTCCTCATCCAAATTTGGGCTAAGGTTCCAAACACAGATCTAGTTATCTTTCTGTATGAGAGATTCAGGCATTACCTGATATTTGATGATATTCTTCTCACAAAGGTACTTCTCATTGTAACTCACCTCTCAGAACTTTTTTTTTTTCCTAAATAAAAAGCCACTATAAAAGCCATTTTCCAGTCTTCAAGAATCATCTCCATAGCTAGCTTCCATAAAAGCATGGACTCTAGAATTATGCACAATCCCAGGCACACCTATGGCTGTATCCTCTATATTACTGACTACTTTATTCTTCAATAGATCATTTCAAGCTGCTTGCCACTGCATCACTTAAATGATTACTCAGCTTATCACCACCACCCCCTAAAAAAAAAAAAAAAGCCTTCTATAAATTGTCCTATTGGCATATACTGCAGTCTTGAATGAAATGCAACCATGCACAAAAATGAATTTTCTTGTAGGAATCACATAATGTAAACTGCTCAACTGTTCTTTGACATGGAACTGAAGGAATAGTATCTGATATTTTTCTGAGCAATGGTTTTGTATTTACTTCTAAGAAGTCTGATGATACTGTCAAAAAAAAAAAAACCATACTTACCACTCCTTTCAATAAAATTCCACTAGAAAAAAAAAAATTTAATGGTGATTCCTCAACAACTACTTTTGTAAATCTCTCACTATTTTCCTGATCCCTTTGATGAATGCTGTACTGATGCTCCCCAGTGCTAATTTTTAGTACAACGCCAGGTCACAACTTTCAGTAACATTTATTGCACCTAAGCATTTACTTTCATTATTACATCTGATTTCATTTGTATAAAGTCTAATTTCCATTATGAAATCTTAATATCAATTCTTTAGAAATGAAGCAACTATTATACATAGGCACTACAGAGGTCTGTAACTATCTAGAAGAGTTCAATGATAGATTTCTACTTTGCTAATCTAGAAAAGATGACTTAGGAAAGAGCTTGTGGTTCTAACTGCCTTTCAGCCTTTCAAGGAAGCTGTATTATGAACTACAATTCATGAAACAAGTCCTACTTCTTGTTTATTAATTTAATAACTCACTCATAACTCTATTATGCTAAACTATTCAAGATGCTCAGCATAATCAATGACTCAGAAAAAATGATCAAGAACCCACTGATATCAATTGAGTCTTTTAGAATTACTCTGGTGGCCTTTGGAGCAAATCATTCGTCCACTCTCATCAGGTTGGTGAGAAAACGGTGGTTGCTGGAAAATGTTTTCTTCAAATGTTAGAAACTGTGGCGTACAGGAAGCATAAGCTTAAGGAAATGTGACGGTGGTGACTAGCAGTGTGTGCAGAAAAGGAAAAAAATGTTCTATCATTTGCACTATAAATTTATATATATAAGATCAAACCAAACAGCAATAAAATGAAATAGCCTCAAGCAATTATCCTTACCGATTCAACGCAAAAGCGTAATGAAATTTAATGTTGTGCTGATCAGCCAGATCACAGGTTGGAAGCATTTCTAGTGTTTCTACCAGCTTCACCATAGCATCATAGTCCTGGTATGAATTTAAAAAAAAAAGAAAAGAAAAAAAAAAGAAAAGAAAAAAGAAACTGAAGACCACCTCTGCTACAGGAAAGCATTACTAAACTAAAACATGTCACCAATGCTAGACAGTATCTCAGCTGACTGCTCCTAGAAGAGGCAGTGACGCAGCCACGAACTCCAGTGAAAGGGATCAAAGAGGGACTTTGCCTATCCTTGTCAGTACTTGCCTCTTCCTCACCGCATCACCACTGCCCAACTTACTGAATCCCTCTGGCCAGTTGCAGCAGCAATCAAACATCTGACATCAGTAAGGAGGGGTGCTGAGTCTGGCTTTTTCAGTCCTAATCAAGGACTGCTGATGACCTGACTTCATCAGGTCACCACAGATGACAGCACAGCTCATTCTGCAGTACATCAGCTGTTTGTGCATCCAGTTTGATTTTTCAGGGGTTACCCACATATATGTTGCTGAAAAAGCCAGTTTGAGATAGAGGATGGCCTCATATTACCTAATTTGTTTGTTCAGACTATGCTTGGAGATGATTACATTTCTCAAGGGAGAAGAGCTTTCAAAAGACCATAAATGTAACCAGCTAGGGCAAAACTCAGAGGTGATCAAAACAAAACTGGATAAACCTGCTGCAGGATAACCGGCAACTCTGAATGCAAAGGTGGGAGATGACACAGGTCATCCACTGCTCTCATGACCCATTTATACTTGCCAAAAAAACAACTTAGAGGCCGAGAAAAAATTTCCATAGAACGGTTGGAAGCATATTTTAAAAGGATGTCATCTACACAGATTAACAGTTCAGAAATATAGTATGTAGGCTGTGCTTTAGCAAAAGTAGGACTTACTTAAAAAACAAATTCAAGGAAAATAAAATATGCAGTTATTTTATTTTAAAAACAAATGAATGCTTCTTTTTATGGTGGTTCTCAGCTTGGGCTCCTGTGGCAAATACTGTGGTCACAACAAATGCCTCTTCTTAGCTTCCAAATATATTGGGGGTGGGAGGAAGGGGAAAGGAAAAGAAAAAGCAAAAATTTTGTTTCCATAATTTTTCTGGGTTTCTTTTTATTTTTTAAGGAGGTTAAAAATGACAGAAAACTAAGGAAGAGACCTCAGGAAGTCACCTCATCTATGTCTTTGGTTCACGGGCAAAATAAACAAGCTATTAAAGCCTCTTGCACAGCCCACTATGCCAGCCAAAAAGTTACATACAATCAAACAATATAGTGTCAACTCTGAGTCACTATTTAACAAACAATGAAGTAGAGAAGAACAAATAAGAGCCAAAATCCCATGGTAAAATAATCCTTCTTACTCCTTAGGAGTATACCTGAATATCTCGATAAGAAAGAAGCAGGTTTATGACAATGTCAGAAGTCAGCACTTCAGTGTTATCCATACGAAGCTTAATTCTGGCCAGCTCCTTAGCCAGTTCCTCTCCTTGATACTTCTCTCTAGCTTTTCTAATATCATTTAGCAGTGTTTCTTTATAATAGGCACTAAAGAAACAAAAGGTAGATGTATGGGAAGACAACTGTTAGATTTTTTTTTTTTAAGTGAAACATGATCATATTTCTAATAAAAATAATTTCTAATAAAAAGCATAATTTACTTATCAGAATGACATGTACATTAAATCTTTCCTTTAAGTTCACATTTTCATATTATCTCATTATATGTATCCCACCTTGCCCTACCCCACGCTGTGGGGCTATGTATCAATACACATATGACCAGGATTGTGGGATAATTTAATTAACTCAGGAAAATTGGAGCTTTTTTTTTTTTTTTTGTTACTGATCATGACAGTTTTGGTACTTTGTAACTTTATATCCTAAAGAAGGCAGCAATTGGGACGATAAACTGGCACACTAAGAAAAGATCAGGGTGACATAAAAAGAAGGTATGCAATTTTACAAGTTAAAGAGCTTAAGTGACTGAAATATAGCAACTAAAGCAGAAACAAGCCACCAAAAGCTGACTTCTTGTAGTTTGTTTGGTGAAAACAATACATAATGTGGCAGGATTTATGTAAAATCCCACAGTAAGTTTCTTTCACCTTACTTGCACTAACATCAGTACATAGTGCAAAATCAGAGCTTTTATGGAATACAAAAAAACCCTTTATTATCAGTAGTGACAACTATAAACCATCTGGATAGATTATTTAGAGCTAACATTATCTGGAGCAGCTTATGGGGTCTACAGTTTAGAAATTAACTGATGGCCCCTGACAGGTAATCAAGTGCATACAATGACTTTTTTGCTTACAAATTGAGTATTGCAAGTATTCGACATTGCTTAGCACTAAGCCCTAAACACAGCAGAGAACCGAATGCTCTGTCGAATATTCACAGCACAGATAACATGTAAGATATTTTTATAAGGCAAGGTAGCAAGACCTCTATTAGCACCACTGGAAAGCTTTTAATATTTGTTCAACTGTCAGGGAAGTTAGGTCTAATTCACCACATACTAGTAATCTCAGGTTTCTAACCAGCATTGCCTTTTACAGATTTATGATAACTAGTCCTTCCGGTGTTCACCAAACCAAAAAGGGATACAGGACAATATTTTTCAATTGTGTCCAAGTGACCTAGAAATGCAAAGTTTCACTTTCAAGAATGCTTCAACACTTAACCATCTCAAACTTTGAGTTCAAACTTCTGGAGAGAGCGCTGCGTCATTCAGCTACATCTTCGCTCTTCACAGAGATCTACCACAACAGTGTCCAGCCCCGCAGTTATTCAAAAGCCTTTGTCAGGCACTACAGCCAGAGCTTACAGGAATCGAAAACATCAAAAATTTGTATTCAGTACTTCATAATTACTCCAATCCACTGACTGAAAGCGGTAATGGAGACAGAAAAGAGACTTTACTGCAGGACTTCACCATACAATTATCAAACTAAAGTCACTCACAATCTTGGTCATAAATATATTGTCAGAGAGAAAGCGTAAAGGTAGCTTTGGATAGCTGGTGCCCAGAGCACCATTTTATGACAGTGATACCAAAACTAACTACTAGCAGGACTGACTGTGCTACTGGTTTCATGAGCCTGTCTGCAGGGCCTCGCATAGCTCTCCTCATATGCTCGGCAACTTTACCACATCTCTGCCCTCCTGCTTGTCCCACTCCTTAAAGCAGGCTGGTGTTGCCTGCTGCCTACACACACTCTCCTCCCCAGCGCTGTTCTGGAGGAGGAGCAGGAGGCACCTTGCACTTCCTCAGGCCAGCAATTGCCCTGTCACTCCCTAACAAGGTGTCAGAAAGCGGCAGACCTGCTGCAGATGGAAGCGTAAGGGGTGAGGTGTGTGTGGGCAGAAGCATCTGTGGATCCTAACAGTAGGACAAGGTGAGAAAAGGGATTTTCTAGGGAACCAAGTACTTCACTTGGGTAGGATGGCAATGGGTGAAGAGAAAGAACCCTGCGGGTCCTCAGTGCTACCTCATGCTTCAGACACTGGGCAAAAGAGAAGGCAGAAGCTCGCCTCTCATCCTCTTTCCCAGAAATATCAGACTAGCTGCAGAGCACAGGGGTAGCAAAACAAGAGCGAGACTTCTATCTCCGGCCCCAATCTTCAAAACTTTAACATTCCCTTGCAGAATTGGCTGAACAACATCACATTTATTAGGTGATATCAGAATGCTAATATTAAAACAAATTACTGCAGAAGAGTTGCATTTCATTGTCCATTGCTACCACATGTACGTACTTACTTAGTGATAAAAAGGAGAGAAAAAAACAACATAGTGGTTAGCTTTGAGCTCTATGAAGAGGCTGTAATCTCATCTTCTGTTACAACTTCTTGCATTGTAATTTATACTTAAGAACTTTATCTTACCCATGGACCTGCCTGCTTACTGATATTTCAGAAAGTAACCATAAATCACCTCTAGCATAACTTGGTTAGTTAACTGCAACAGCTGCAGGACAGTGCTACAGTAAGCAGTAAAGCAGAAAAGAAAGCAACTTCTTTTAATATCATATTAAGTGCAGTGAAAAAAAAAAAAAATCAACGTTACTAGGATCCTGAATCTTTTTCCTAACATTAAGAGGAAAGTATAAATGGCTCTGGATGTGTATGTGTCGCACAGTTACCATGACGTAACATGAACATCCTTGAGAAGGCTGATAAACCTATCCACCAGTGGGACACAAAGTGGCCCCAGGATATTGTCCCAGCTGGGTTGCATATACTCAGAAGCTCTTCGCTGGGCATCACTTTCACAGCAAAAGTAGTCAGCACAAGGTGTGACAATGTATGGAATAAAATAATAATTCCCACTGGAAGCCTAAAAGAAAAACAGACATAGTTTAGAAAACAAATGAAAGTGGAAATATGCTTGTGTACATACAGAATCTTTTACTGTCAGAAAGAACTGCTAGATCAGGGCTGTTGCACCACCAGGTTTTAGTGCACTGTTTAACAGAAGATGGCAAGCATTAAATTCAAGCACTTCTCTTCCATATGGGAGAATTACACATATTAACAGGGGTGAAGAATAAGGGCCTAGATCTGTAAAGAAACAAAATGCTTTGATTTTTTGATGTCATGCACAGACCCTAACTACAAGTCTGACAGGACAAGCTGACCTTCTGCTCCCACATTCTTGCAGTCAGTGAAGATGTATTTGCATCCTCTAGGCTTAGACTGTGCTAGGAAAGATATGACACAGAGCACACCACAAAGTGTCTGAGAAATACAGAAAAACAGGCATTGAACGGACTTTACCGAGATGTTTAATCCAGAAGAGTCCACACAACATCCGCTGCATGCTGCCATCAAACACCAAACCAAAGAAAAACTTTTAACAGAAAATTCCAAAAGTGAAAACCAAAAACCCTTAATAGACCACAGAAAGACTGTAAACGTGATCGAGGTGTTAAAAGGGGAGAGGAGCGGAAATGGCAAACGCCTTTCAGACCCTGAATACAGCAAGTTCAGGTTCTTTAGCTAATGAACAAGATCCAAAAACCCCAGGGAACCCTCCCCAGTGGAGAGGGTTTCCACTATTATTAGAAACACCAACATCATTTTGACCTATGACAAGTTTCTGCTGTTTAAAAGAAAAAAAAACAAGTAAAACCCAGTCAAACTATGCATTCATAGTAAATAGGTAGGAGCCCTGAAGCATGGCGTTAGCATGACACAACTAACGCAATCAACTACCATCCAATAGCCTTCCCTTGTCACCTTGAGATACCAAGGCAAACAACTACAGCCACAACATACCTCTTATTTTTCCATGATACCATCTAAGCCTGCAGTAAAGTAGCAGCCATTTAAAATCCTCATGAACAATAGCAAAACGTCAAGATGACAGAAAGAATGGATGAGGCTAGTAGATTTTTATATGTATTAATAAACTAGACAAGCAAAAGAAACTGGTCATGGGAAATAATTTAGGGCATGCAGTTACTAGAGGTACAGACAGACAAGAAATCTGTATCAGAGACATCCTGTTATAGAACCAAGTCTATTACATTTTAGAATTATAAATGATTTCTAACAGCTAAAGACCACGCCACATTCCTTCTTCATGAACCATACAGTCTGGTACCTCTGTTCTAACAAAGTCACAATCTGTTGCAATGCTATCTTTACTTCCTACTAAAAAAGTAGGAAACCTTGCAACCCAAACCACCAGAATGTTACAACTATTTAGTCCGAGGTTTATTTAAATGAACACTAAGTTCAGGGCAATGTAAAAAACATTTGTATATAAATTCTATTCTTAAACCTGAAACAATGCATTAGTTCTTCCTGCAAAGGAAAAAACAAATCTAGCTTGGTAGTACGATATGTCTTGTGATGCAAACAGAGCTGTAGTTATCTACTGAAAAAGCAAAGCAGTTTTCAGAGTATCTTCCCAGTATTCAAGTATTTTCAAATGGCATACATACTGTATTAATCATACTCAACCAACATCGCCCCTTTTTGACCTAGATTTCTTGTCTCTTTTTGGCTAGTGAAATCTGTGTAATTAAAAATAAATTTTCATCCGTTAACACAGATACATTTTTGCCTGCCCAAGTCAGGAACACTGCTTGTATTTCAGCACGTCACCTTGTTTGAAGAACAACCAGCAAAGCCGTAACTTCAAAAATTAGTTTGCTATATTTGGGACAAGCAGTCACACACTGAGTTAAACCAGTTAGTAACACAAGCCTTCAGTGTTGTACATAAAGAGAAGGATAGTCTGCCTCCTGGCAGAGATACCATTGCGTGTAATACCAAAGAAACCAAATGTTGTATTTCACTGTTCCCTGACAGACACTGATCTCCAATTTTCCAACTTCTTCTGTCCAATATTTATACATAATAGATTACAAAGCCTCTTCATATTTAGTGTGTGGGCTGAGATTTCTCACTGCGCAGAAAAACAATCCTGCTGATCAGCTTTTCTCATACTGTCAAGGGCTAGTGATGGCTGAAAATATCATCCTTATTTCTCTGGGAGATCATCTGTTCTGGATGCCAATCCTTCATCTCCAATACCAAAAATTAGTAACTGTGAAAATTACTGTCCCGTCACAAGCCAACTATTGCTTCATCAGATATTGAATAAACGGCACGTGTATGTATTAAGGAACATACATAAGAAATTGAGCTCCAAATATGTATACTTTATAAATCATGAATTATTTGTGATGGAATTACAACTTTATGTAGACTGTATGTTGAGTTGAGTTGGTTTATTTCAGGATTATTAGCTCAGTTTAAAAACAAAAAAGAATTGTCTTATTTTGAAAAAAGTCTCAAGTTTAGAAGTTTAAAAATATGCTAAAAAAAGCAGACTGGAAAAAAAAATACTTCTCAATAGTTCATCTTCCAGCAAACAATAAATGCCCAATGTGCTAGCAATGAAATGTTTGCGTTTGAGCACAGCACTTTAATCAACCAGAAAAAGGGTCAAAAGTTTAAGAACATAACAAAGAAAAATAACTGCAAGAAAGTTAAAAATGGGACTCGTTCTTCAGAGGAAGGTGGTTAAAGGATCTAAGCACAGACACATGCCTTTGCTGATTGACTGAAAGAGCTAGGGCCCACCTAGGCCATTACTAGGGTTTAGGGAAACATTTGACTTTAATAAAGTACCTGGTCTTTTCAACTATACTGCTACAGCTACTTCTGTCAAACTGTCACTTTGATATGGAAATACTATACTTGAATTAAAGGCTTTTTTGAATAAATAGCGTTGAGTAAAATCTCTGCATCTTCAGAGGGGGAATTACGCCCGCATAGCTAAGAGCACTATTATCTCACTCTAGCTATGCAGCTTATTTTGCCACTTAGTCAAGCATTAAAAGTATTAGGGTAAACTTAAAAGTGCTCGTCCTACCCTTGCAAAGTAATTCGAGGAGGGGAAAAATAAAAAAAGAACACGCAAGATAACAAGAACTGAACTGTGCTGACTCACAGGAGTCAAATACTTCTGAGTATTCAGAAAGTCTAATCCAGCATTGTCTTAAAAATCAAGGTGGTTCCTTCCACAGCAGTTTTCTTGACACCATGTTCCCATCGATCTTGTGGCACTAGTTAACCTAACACATTAAAAGCTTTTAAAAATACTCCCTCTTCAAAACTTGAATATATGCAGTAAATATTTTAATGTGAATGCTGTGAGAGAGATTTTTTATAAACCAAACACCCTAAACTCTCACGATCTAGCTTGCCAGTAGCAAGTACTCCAAGATTACAACTGCTTTGAAAGTAAGAACATGCCAAGCACTGTATTTGAAGCATCCTTATATTAAAAAAGGCTAGAAACATAGTAATAAGATGGCATATTTATTCAACAGAAAGCAGATTAAAAAGTGATACATACTTTGCCTATCAGATTACCACTGTGGTATTCAGGAGGTACTTGAACCCGAAGAAAAGCTTTGTGGTTGGCAACCTACTCCAAATTGAAATAAAATAACAAAAAAGAAAACACCACCACAAAACATGGAAGCATAAGAAGCAGAAAGACAGACATGACATATGAATAGAGAAATTATTAATGAAACAAACAACAGAAGCTGAAAATAAGATATTTATAGTAAGTTCATATTTACAAGATTAAGCAAATTTAGTGCAATACTTTGCCACTGAGAAGATAAGATTTCTATCTATATGTGCTATTTGTCTGCACATCTCCTTGTGTCATCGTTAACATGCTCAGTAGTCTCACTGTCATCAACCTGACACATTTATTCCCAAATATTTAACCATAGCCAATCACTAAATATATGCTCCAGGAGACAGTAACATTTCCAGGAAAACTAACTTTCCTAAATAAATTTTTAAAAATCCTTAGTTGTCATTATATCACTAGTAACAGTAGAATATTTAATGCACAGAAACATTAAAAATAATATTTACTGGGTTACTTGTTCTTTGTACTATTTTTCCCAGAGAAGTAATAATTACTGTCTGTATTTCAGATGTTCCTATTCCTAAGAGGATCTCTTTCCTTTCGTGCCCTTTTGCAAATTCTTTTAATACTTCTGCTGCCTCAGAGGCTTTTCTAGAAATATATCATACAATCTTCTATATATTGTAAAAGTAATCAGAAAATAAAATACATAAAGCTATTCTACAATCCTACTACTTCAGATTACCAGATTCATATAATGTAATTATACTTCAGTCTTGGCTCCCACTTCAGTGCACTGCGACTAGTAAACTGTAGAATGTTCAATGTAATATAAGTCCAAGTGCCAAAATCTTTAAATTTAGTTTTCGTAAATGTTTATTACCTTCAAACAGTAGAGTCTAATTCATACTGCTAATGAAACTCTGAAGAGATTTTCTGCCAATCACATTAAAAAGTGATTTTTCAACATAAAAATTCCTTGTGGCAAGGATAAATTATAAGGGGTAATATTACTGTCCCCTTTAGATCAAGGGGAATTTTTGCTAATGACACTTCCGTGGCCTAGGCATTATTTGCTGCTTATTATAAGAGCTGCTACAGGATTTGAGAAAAAAATCCATTTAAATCTCTAGAAATACTTCACCAGGCCCCCAGACCTAAATATAGTATAATAAGGCTTTTGGTTTCATAGCCATCTTACTTTTCTTCAAATATTTTCCCTGAAAGCAATTAATAGGCTTATCCAAATTTCGTCAGACATACCATCGACTAAAGGAAAATCAATTATTAACACTTTCTCTTCATATTCTGTACTTGCCTAGTAATTTTCCAGAGTGGAAAGTTCTAGCTTACAGTGCCACACTCAAACAAACCAAATGGGTTGAAGTACACATCTCAAACTACGGGCAACCAATGCTAGAACTATTGGGACAATGGTACAATTGGGACAATTTTGTGTCCCAATTGTAGCAGTTTTTAAAAAAGCCCTTTGTGTACTTTGACCTGCTGGAAAGCAGCTCTGCAGAGAAGGAGCTGGGAGTGCTGGTGGACAAGTTAAGCATGAGTCAGCAATGTGCCCTGTGGCCAAGAAGGCCAAGGGGATCCTGGGGTGCATTAGGCAGAGTATTGCCAGCAGGTTGAGAGGAGGTGATCCTCCCCCTCTGCTCAGCCCTGGGGAGGCCTCATCTGGAGTACTGTGCCCAATTCTGGGCTCCCCAGTACAAGAGACACATGGCGCTACTGGAGAGAGTCCAGCGGAGGGCTACTAGGAAGATGAAGGGGCTGGAGCATCTCTCCTGTGAGGAAAGGCTGCGAGAGCTGGGCCTGTTCAGCCTGGAGAAGAGAAGACTGAGGGGGGACCCGATCAATGTCTATAAGTAGCTGAAGGGAGGGTGTCAAGAGGATGAGGCTAATCTCTTCTCCGTGGTGCCCAGCGACAGGACAAGAGGCAACGGGCACAAACTGAGCCACAGGCAGTTCCATCTGAACCTGAGAAAAAACTTCTTCACTGTGAGGGTGACTGAGCACTGGCACAGGTTGCCCAGAGAGGTAGTGGAGTCTCCTTCCCTGGAGACATTCAAAACCTGCCTGGACACGATCGTGGGCAATGTGCTCTAGAGGACCCTGCTTGAGCAGGGGGGTTGGACTAGATGATCTCCAGAGGTCCCTTCCAACCTCAACCATTCTGTGACACTTCTTCCTTCACTCCATCTTGGATTTTCTTATGCTCAATTTCTTAAAGTTCTATAAAGGGAAAGAAAATTTCCCTTAAAAAAAGAATTAGAGATAACAAAATGTTGCATCAAAATAAAATAACTTCCTCATGGATTTTATTTATTTGTTCAGCTGGGGGAAAGTTGTGGTTTTTTGTTCTTTAATTTAAGCAATATTGCTTTTGGAAATACTTGGAGTTTCATTTCTCTTATAAACTAATGGCAATTTGAGGTCCAAAGAAACTCCAGAGCATACTCTTCATAGAAAAATGCATTTTCCTGTATCCTCCAGTCCAGTAACATCCAGTCTGCTCTCAAACATCAATTTCTTCCTAATGACACAGAAGACTGTTCTGTAAGACTGGATACTTGTGATTTATTTCATCGGTGATTATTCTGACAGAAACTAGGGAGCTGTGCAAACACCCCGAGTAAGATTAGCAGAACGCTGTCCTCAAAGCTCAAGAGTTGCACAAGAAAGAAACCTAGCTGCAAGGACACAGAGACTACTGACCTTTAACTTCATGCCAGGGCAATTCTGTCTTGGGAACTCAACTCTCCTAGCCAATAATTCTTTCTTCATGTATCTCAGTGCGCAATAAATTATCAATACAGAGTTTTAATTGCTCATTTGTGGGAATCAAGTAGAACTGAACCACATTCCCCATTTTATCTCTGAAAATTTCACTCCTAATGGTAGAAGTCACATTCCCAATTCTCCAATTTTTACACTCTTTTTTCAGACAGCAAGCTATTAAAACTCTCACAGACTCATTCCACCTCAGCAAGCTGCTCTCCGATTTTCATCATTAAATCGGCTGTACTCTTGAGCAAATCTCAACTAAACCGTTGACCCTTTTGTTATGCATTGTTTTCAGCTTTATGTTCAGCTTCCTCGCTCTTGCCTCCTCCCTGATGCTGAATTAACGTGACTGATTAACCTCTTCTTTACAAGGAAAACATCAATTTCTTTCAAGGGTTACTTGTAATCCAAGAAAGAAAAAAAAAAATCAACATGAAGGAAACGCTAATCGCTTTTCTTCTGTGTTTTTAACATGGCTCCATTCCTATTCTATGCTATGATCTTTTTTGTGTCTTTGTACATGCCTTGAGATTTGCAGGATACCAATAGTGAAGGTGAGGGCAAGGAATCCTCAGAGAAGGATCATAGTGCAGTATCCAGGGTAGGAAGTTTCACTTGTGCTGCTTATACACAGTGCAGATATGTGGCCACAAAAAGTCAAAAGATGTGGAGAGGAGTTCTCTCCATTGAAAACTAGCAGTGGTAACTGTGTGACCACCTTTGGGTTGGAGGAAAGCTTAGCAGGTTACGTATCTGTCCTCTTTCCAACAGGTCTACAAACCTACTGAAGCGCTCTCTGCTATTCCATAGCTATAGCAGAGGCCTACCCACACAAAGATCAGTTCAATCAGGAAAAGTGAAAGGAAAATACAAAACCCTAGAACACTGGTATTAATTCTTGTATCTAATATTCAGCATTTAAACTGAAATGGTTATGTAACTACACATTTGATTAGACATAGTTACAAAATCAGTTGCATTTACTATGTAACTAGTGCAGCAACCCTCATCATCAAGCACCTTCAAACAAAATATTGCTGATGAGGTTGTGAAATATTTAACCAAGTAATGAAGCAGTGGCAGTAAAGTGGGACAGTGACAAACCGCATGCCTCTCAGATTTCATTGGATCTGGAAGGAGGGGAAAGCAACCATCTATTCAAAGTCAAGTCCAACTTAGGTAATCAAAGTTTTAAGCTATTAATTATTTTGCTAATTAGTTTGTTGTCAGTAATTTCTGATTAAAAAACTAGTAAGAGAATGAATTATGGGAATACATTAAAATATATTTTACTATCTAATAAGAGAGAATATGAAAGTTTCAAAAAACACGAAAGGGTCAAGAATCCATGCTTGGTATTTAAAGACAGTTGTTCTTTCCTCACTGCATTTCACTCGCAATTGTTTCCTTGCTTTAAGTGCTTGAAGAAAGTGGGGTGGACAATACAATTTTTTTAAAGGAGGGGTCAGGACCTCGGTTTCAGGATCTCTTCCTGCCCTTTTCACTAGCCACGTGGAGAGGGTGAGAGTTTCCAGGTCTAACACCACACCCTGCTGTGGGAAGCACATCACCAAGTCTATCTTTTCTTCTCTTCCATGTCAAGGTGAAGGCAGTCATCCCTCCCTTCATAGGGGACAACAGTCCAAAAGAAAAGGTTGCAGGCTGCTAATCTGACCACGCTAGGCTAAACTGGTCACCGTCCACTTTGCATTTATCCTATCTCTGGTGTAATCACAAAATGGCTCAGTCAAAATTCTTCCTACTCTGGAGGGGAAAAAAATACCCCACGTGCGCCCTTATAACATTTTGATTGTGATCTTGTGAATACCTGTGGACAGTAGCATTCACAAGCAAATCTAAAATCATTTTCAGGCCCCTGTTCATAGACTAGTAAACATACTGGACGCCACAGGTGAAACTAGTTCAGGGATCATCAAGACAAATAGGAGAATGACCTGGACTTACTCATGCGCTCAAGCTGATCTATCTTTAGCCTAGACATAGCACTGTTGCCAAAGGTAAACAGCCAGTCAAAATAAACTGCTGTTAACTAATGCATTGTCTCTTCTTGGCCTCTTTTAAATTGTCACTTTAGCAAAATCTAAGAACATTTTAGTATTTTAGTCTTGTTCTGTATTCTTCAAAGAGAATAAAAGCTTAAGGTATACATGGGGAAGCAAAAGGGAATAAATCAAAGTTTAAGATTTCTGCAAATACAATATTCCTCAGTATAACAATGTGCAGCGTTCAATGAAAATAACCACTGATGTGATCTGAAGTTAAAAAAGAACTGTGCACGATACTGTGCTATATTGCAATAAACCTAAAATAACCAGTATATTTTCTCTTCCTTCAAGTTTACCTACCTGTTTAGTCTTCCTGGTGTTAAGAGTAATAATTTTATTTTGGGAAATAAGTTTTTGCATTCCTAAGTAAAATCACAGTCTGTGAGCAAGAGGCTGGGTACAAACTATGAGAAAGTTTCATATTTGAAGCTAACGTAAAAATTGCAAACTTAGGAAAAGCAGAAAATGGAAAGCTGGCCTTTGGGACTGAAACCTTGTTGCAGTACAAGAAGCAGAAAAAGCATAAATGAAAGTTGTTGTGATTTTATGTTTGTATAGTGGCCAAAATGGTTTGATATACATGAGTCCTATTAAGGCCTCGGACACATACATACTTTTGCACAAGCAGGTGAAAGTGGGCGAGGGAAAAAGAGACCTTGAATTTCTGCGTTTATATTTTGATCCAAGAAGCTGCATATATAACGTGCCTATTGGCAGTTTTCTGGAACTTAAAAAGGAACTTCTACAGAAAAGTCATTTATTAGCTTGTTTTACTTTGGAAAGGAAGTCAGTAAGATTTTCATTAGTTTGAATTGTGTACAGGGCAAACAGGCTTCTTTTGATCGTACAGAGCATATACTACATCTTGGCAGCTTTGTTCTTAGGTTTGCTTCAAACGTAGAATCCTCATTTGGTGTTTTCAAATGAATGTAGATTTAATACTTACTGTGTTTTTCTGGGATACCATATCCTAAAATAAATAAATAAATAAATGTCATTTATATTGGGAATTACTATTTCCAATAAAAAACAACTGCACATACATATGCACATACGTGTTTTTACAGAGTAATGCATATTTCCCGTCACAGCAAGTAACAAGTAAAGGGACTGAAAAATGACAAGAAAAGTCTCAGTAGTTCAGGTTAGGAAAATATTAATGATTCCAAGAAGAAACCTATTTAAAGAAGTGCTCAAAAAAGGAAGAAAGCTGGTACTTACCAGTAACTGGAGTTTCTTAAGCAGGTAGTCCACATACCCAATCATACTCTGGGTGTTCGTGAGACAAAAGCATTCAAGTCTAGAGACTTCTTTGAAAGATACCTAGGCCCCTTCCCTACCTTGAGGGTATAGACCAAGACACTCCTTCAAATCCTAATTCTTCTCACTTTGAAATCCAAAAAGAGAAAGTAAAAACCTGAGGGAGATGAGAAATTAACGGAGATGTAAACCAGATCTCAAAGATCTCCAATTACTGGTAAGCAACACCCTTCTTCCACTTCTAATATTGGCCTACATGTCCCATGAGCATTGTGTGGTGAATCTAAGCAGGGCTCCAGGTAAGCCACTCTACACATGTTAGATCAGATCAGGTTCTAAGCAAGGTCGTTGGTGTAACTACATGCTCTGACAAGCAAAGATGACTCTGCTTGAGCAACTTCACATCCAAAACAGCCTGAAATTCACTTGGATAACCACTGCACAGAAATGACAGTGCCTATGCACCTTTTTCTCAACATCAGGGTCCAAAGAGGTTTAGTTCTGCAAATATGACCCTCTTGAAGTCCAGATGATATATTCTTTTATGTTCTTTGAACTAGGAGGTTTTGGAAAGAACACTGGTGAAATCGAAGAGACGGGACTTTGGAGAACTTTAGGACGGGCCCTATGAAATAAGCCATACAAAGTCAGGTTGCCGGAATTTCACATATCTTCCCAGTAGGTGTAATAGCCAAGAATATCACCTTTAGAACAATTAGACTAGCTACTAAAAGAGGCATACACAGCAACGTAGATCCAACTAAAGTAAGGAATTCCTAAAGGGAAGCACAAGCTTGACACGAGGTGTAAAATCCCAGCCATTCACTGAGCTCCTTATTGGGTAGGGATACTTAGATGACTAACCTGTGCTTCCCAAACTTTGGCACATGCTGGGGAGAACCAAGCTCATTAGAACATCTGAGAGACAGCACAAAAGAAAGGTAAAAACGTGTTAACGAAAAACAAAAGGGAAAGATCCCTTTGCAGTCAGGTATATCATCACTGCAGAATGAAAAGTTGTACGCCTGCGCACCTAGATTAGCAAGAGAAGAGGAGGGCATGGGTAATATCTCAGAACAAAGGGCAGAAGAAGCTCCATCTCTGAGTTCTTGTGATTCCAGGTCACCCAGAACGCGAACATGTGTGTGGACAATCCCCTGAAGAAAGAAATATGAGCTACTAGACACATGAGAGGAAAATCAATAACACTGAGAGCAGGAAGCTGTGACGGAATAGTGCTTTTCTAAGAAAAAAAAAAAAGAAAAAAGAGAGAGAGAGACACACACACAAGGAGATTCATACAAAATTAACATTAAACTTAATATTTTCATGGCATCAAGAGAGGTTAGAGAATTCTGAAAAGGATTTTTGTACATCTGTGGCATGACAGAGTACAAGGCAATAATTCAAAAATAAGGAAAAAAAAAAGCATGAACAAAGTTGTGAAGGTAGAGAGAAAAGAGATGATATTAAAAGAAGCAGTAGGTGATGACCCAGAGGAGAAAGACATCTAAACGTGATCTAAAACAAAGAGAACCTGTACTGAGAAAGGCAGAAGCATCCACAACATATGACCTGCATCCAGAACAGCAACTTCGGGGCTTAAGTACTATGCTACTATAAAAATAAATAGCCCCATAAAGAGATTTGGTGAGGATCCTTCTTATCTTCACCAAACAGCAATGAAAAGGAGATCCCTGCAGTCTTTGCTACTTATCATCTCAGAGATACTAACCTAATTTGAAAGAAGTGCTCCAATAGCAGGCGTAAGTTGCAATACATTCCTTGTTCAAGTGAAGTGCCATTATTAAACAAGACTTAATATCCATTTACATGTACCCAAATTAAAAGAGGGAGAGGAAGGAAAATAACCTTTTTGAAAGTCATGAAAATCAGACCTGCCCTCACACTTCTAGGCTGAACCATGTGAAGCAAAATCAGTACTGTATTATGGAACTGATCTTATGAACAAGCGTTTATGCTATTCTGATCACACTATTTTTGTTAGTAACAAAATAGTTAAAAGAAAAATAGCTACTAAGTTATGTAGCTAACAGGAAACCACACTTAATGAAAATTTTAGAGAAGGACCAAATGTCTGCAGGGATTAAGTATTCAAAAGGTATTTCTGAAATGAAGCAGATTTTAATGTGGAATCTTACTTTGAGAGATTGAGCAGTATCAGCATCAGTGTCATGGTAAAGTATAACATTATTCGCCATGTCAAAGCTCTCACGCACACCCAGGTGGTAGAATAGTGATGGCTGTTTCGAAATATCACTCATATCCACAACTGCAACATCTGAAATGAGAGAGGGAGAGGAGAAAAAATAGGACTAAAAATAGTCTTAAAACTACTCTTATTTTCTTACATAGAATTTAAAATAAATCCTAAAATTATAGGTAAATTTGGACAGGCAAAAATCAATATATTCAAATGAGCAGCATCTTGTCTTGGTGTAAGTGAATTTTACCATGCATACTAAAGAACAAGAGCACACTCAGGCAATTATCACAGGGCTAAAATAACTGTGAGGCAGTTTACAAATTTTGCTTGAGGTTATGAAATCACTGCATCAGGAATACTTCAGGTGAAAAAGCCAACTACGTTTGCTCTCTGAGCTACGCCTGACAGTCTAAAAGCCCAGTAAAATGGAAAGCTCCAGACCTTCATGTGGGAAATCTAAGAACAATAAGGTAGCAGCAATAACATAAAACTACCAGACCAAGCTTATCTGAAGAGGCTGAGGCTTAGAAAACAGCAAATTCTAAAGAGTAGAAAAAGAAACGAGTTGTGAAAATTGAGTCTTAAAAGCCACAACGATTATGGCGTTCAAGGTGGTGGTGGTGGGAAATGGGGGGATTCAATTACAATTAGCTTGAGCAAGACCTCCACTGATCTTGGGTAGAACTGCAATCAAATGGATGTATAAAATATCAGTGGAAGCTGATGTGAATTTGAAACCTATACGGAGAGCTAAAGAGAAATACCTCATGCTATGCAGAATAGCTACGAAATATAGGCCTGTCCTCAAATTCATCATTTGGTTCTGATCTAAGCCTAAAGGTCAGTACAGAAAGAAGAGGTAACTGGAGAAGGGATATTTATGCTGATTTTTTTTTTCCTTGATCCATGCATCTTCCCTGCTACCTAAGAAAATTTTATTTTAAAGCTTTTTAAACGTCTGTATCTTTCTGACTGTCTGCTTTCACCACTATGGGAGAGATGGATGAATTTAAAATCAACTTATTCATAGCACTAGACTCTTGGCAATTAAGCTACAAGGGAATTTGAGGTTCAAACCAGATTCCAGAGACTCCGGTAGCTGGGCAGTAAATCCCACATCTCCGAGAGGGGCACAGGCAGGGCCTGTACCTATGGAAAATGACAGAAAAGGTGGACCTACTGACATGCAAGAAACCAAAAAGCAGGCCTGATGTGTAAGAGCCAAAAAAACCCAGCGAGTTTACCCGGGCTTCACCAGCTGGACATCACAACAATCAATACCCCATACTCAGTATGCGAGTTCTTGGTAAAGCCCGGGATGAATGTATATTCCTGTACAATTCCACTCAGACATTTTGAAGGCTGTGCTAACACACCAAACTGGGGTCAGCCAGTCCCCCTGGTCATTAATAGACTCCCTATAAAAACACACGGGACATTTTTGAGTCCAAAGACAATGGCCTGCCTCAAGACCAAAGCATCACTATTCAAGAGCCGAAAAGTGGGAAAATAGTAATAATAATAATGATGATAATAGTAATAATAATAATAATTGTGGCAGTGCGAGAAAGCTCCCTTACCCCTGAGGAACCTCAAATCCAGCAACACCTACCGATGCCCCTTCCAGCTCCTGTTTAGCCAGCTCTCCACAGTAGGGGCAAAATTCTTGGTCAGCTGCACACTGCAGAGTCACAGAAACTAAGTGGGCCTAAAGCAGTATTTCCTGGCGCCACACATACATCAGAATCTGGATTATGCAGCCCTCTTCCCCCAAAATATTACAAAAATCATTTTGGAAAACACAAGTCATCTATAAAACAAAAGCTTACATAAACTAACAGGCAGACCTAGAATCGAATTGCATGGCGGGGGGGGAGGGGGAGCAGGAAAGAAGTCTAAGAACTTGAACTGCATTTTTAGCACTTGTATGAAGTGCTTTGTGAGAGCAAAACGCTGTGAAATCACAATCACCTTCCTGGTGAAAGAATTCAAACAATACGTGCATGTCACATACAGACAATGCATTCTACAATGCCACGTGAGTGATGATCCGTAACAGTTCATTGAAACACGACTAAACGCAGCTCACTGTCACACAAGTAGTGGTCTACAACTGAAATTTGTTTTCTATTGACTACTGCCAGGTAACAATGTAGGCAGCATCAGGAGCGCATTAAACGGACATAAGAACATAAGCAAACATCTGCATTAAAAAGGGGAATTATTCACCAGTTACATATTCATTCACACTGATAAAGGGAGATTTACAAGAATCAACTTTTCTTGCCTATCTACACTTCATTAGCACAGGTGTGAATAAGGTAAAATAAAACAAAGCAAATTGAAGATTAGCAGAGGAGATGAGGATGGTATTACAAAGACATACGAGCAAAAAAAGCCCCAGGAATATAGTGGAACGGCTCCAGTCCAACAGCAGACTGAAGCAGAGCATCAGAAGTGCTGGTGGATGCAGACTACACCAGTGACGAGATACTGCATTCCTGGGGACCTCTCCAAGCTCTCTTCCAGCAGGAACAACGGGCTGCTTGGAGAAGCAAGGAAGGAGATCTAACTACAAATCAGCTTTACTAACGTAGAAGTGAAATGTAGTTCAAGTACAGTGGGCCCAGGAGAGGAGTGTAAATTTGAGCGGAGAAAAGATACACAGCAAGAAATGCTTGTTAAAGAAGAAAACTGCTAAGTTGCACCCAGTGCAAGTGCACTGCAGTGCTGATGGTATGGAATTAAGTGCCACTCATCACGCTCCCCAGTACTACTGCTTTCAGAGTTACATCTCTTTCTGGTGTACGCAGTTTTATGAATTGCTCACTGAACAATGTGGATATACGATACCATAAATACTTCTGCCTTAATTGTTCTGCATTTTGCTTACGATTTATGCCAAAATATTTAATCTCCAGTTCTTTAAACAAGGGCATGGGGCTCTGTACTTCAACCAGATATTTAGTATGCTTGCAAAGAGGTAAGAATCCCCTCATTTATGAAGCTCCTGAGATCCATAAAAGACATACACTAGTACCTGCTTAGCAAAGCATGGTTTTAGGAATAGAAGCAAAAGTTTATCACACTTGATTAAAACACACTTGACAAAAATCCCATCCTCCACGTCAGAGCCTGTTCAAGAGAACGCACTTCCAGCCTTCCCTTTCCAAATTTATGTGCAATGTCCTCCATCATAGAGATACATGAAGAAAGAGTTCTTACAAGCTAATGCCAACTTTGAGCAACTCTTCTAACGAATGAGGAATTTTATGCAATAACATAATATTTCACATAAGTCTAAAAGATCAATTGATATGGTTCCCTAGATTAAGATGGGCAGAGAGAACAGGGGAACGTATAACCCTTCTGCAAAGAGGCTTCTGTAAAAGTAGAACCCTTTCAAGTATACTAGAAAGATCTTTACAACATATCCACAAGGATGATGGGGATGCAGAATTTGTTTAAAATTGCACAGGACCAATTTTGGATGCTTCTAGGACAGAACATTTAAAGTATCTTTGCTTTGTTTCGCAGCAGAAAGTCACATTCAAAAAAAACACACCCATACAAATGTGTCCTTCCTCATTTCTTCGCAAAATGATCGACTTTCTTCTTCTCTAAAACGTGTATAAAACTATTTCCATCCTGAAAACAGCGCTCTCTTGCTAAAAATCTAAAAGCTGATCTCACTTTATTTTTAAGGAGCTTCCTGGAATTAACTGGTTTAAGCTTTTGTTTTCATTGTGAAATTATTATGTTGTGTGTATATTCTATACTGCATAATGGTAATTCATCAGTATTATTAGTACAATCCTGATTAGGTCTCTGCATTGCTACAGCAGACAGCACCTGTGGTAAAACAGAAGAACATGAAACTAATAAATAACTCAAAAGGAAAAACATTATTATACACCTTAAAATCAGGGGATTTAATTCTCTGCTTGGAACGTACCTAAAGGTATCACATAACTTAATGACCTAAGCAACCCACAAGTCTTCAACATCAAAAAGAAAGCTTTGGTACCGAGTTTCTAGATCTGTAAGTGAAAAGCGGTAAACGAAAAAATACAGAAGCAGCTTGCAAACATGCTGGAAGTTAAATGGTGCCTAGGGGAGCTAACAAAAGAAAGTCAGAAAAAGTCTGTACTGCTTTTAATATCAAATCTCAGACTCATCACCATCCAGCCTTATTTGTACGGATAGCAAGAACCTTAACTCGTTATTACAGAATCATTATTCTTATCATTTGGACTTTTAATATAATAAATAAAAAACTCTAAATATGGTGACACAGAGCATCACTGGAGGAAAACAGTGCAGAACTTTGCCCCTTGTTACTAACTGGCATCCTAGAAATGGTCATGAACCTTCAGATTACTGGCTATTTGGATCCATGTCCTTCATAGCTTGTAGAAAAAACCAAACACATTCTGCATTAAATCCATGGGAGGAAATTATTGCAGTTGCTCTTCAGAAGAGGAATGCCCCTGAAGAAATAATCATCATACTATCCTCAAGAAAACCAACTAGACAGTAATGACTTATCTTGTAATACAGATGTGTATATACTATAATCATATTAAATAGCATTCTTAAAATCACTTCATATGATTATTTCAGACTAGACTTTTTATAGACTAAAATCAAACGCCACCCTTTTGTATAAATACTAAAATTAATTGTAATAGTTTAGAAATTGCTTACAAACCACCTTAAGAAGGCAAGCTGTTCTCCTACGTTGCAGTCAAGTTTTCCACAAGAATCCAGTTGAGCCTGGAATATGACTACAAGTTCCAGGCT